TAGAGACTACAACAAGTTACTTCCCAGGTTCGTGACATCACAAACCCAGATAAACCCCGCCCTCGGGAATATGCAGCAAAGGGGGCGAGGCCATGCTGCGCTGCTTTAGAGAAGAGGAAGAGAAAACTAGAGGTGCACGTAAAAATATATTAATATATGAATCGTGATTCTGTCTTCTAACGATTCTAATGGATTCACAAGTTTCAAAATCAATGTTCTAAAGCAGCGGTTCTTAATACTGTTCCTCGCAGTCGCCTGCTCTGCACACGCTCTGCATCTCTCTCTCTCTCTCTCTCTCTCTCTCTCTCTCTCTCTCGCTCTCGCTCATTGAGCTCAGCTCCAGCAATGAACTGTTACAATTATACACTTATTTTCACATAGCTATGAGAAGCGTTAAACATGGTCGTGCAGTTGCCGTACTGTATTAAAGCTTTAATCAGGATAAAACCGTATATTAAAAGCTAACATAAGCAGTAGCATTTACAAATAACAGCGTATATAAAAGTATGAGACAACAAACAAAAAAACATACCATTAAGAGCCGTGCTTTTTAGCAGCATCATATGACCCCATTTCTATGTATATCCCAGAAATGACACTGGCCAAATTCCTCAAAGCCACTCCGTCTTGCAATGAGGTGTAGAGAATGGTAAATGTGAAACCCAATGCCGCAGTAGGCCTTTTAGTAAATGATGAGGGATGTTGTCATGCGGCTGAAGTTAAGCAGGGTGGGTGGTGTGTGGGGAGATGAGGAGTAGTCAGCGATTCGGTTCAGTCACTCCCTGGAGAGGAGGACAGTCTCATTAGAGATGCAGTAGAGAAAAAGCTCCGCTTGTTTTGACGCTGTTGCTGCTTTTGTACTTTTGACTGATTAACATTGATAGAGGACTGCTATCATCAGTTTCTATTAGTCGTTGCCTAAAATGATGCTGATTCACACTGACATGGCTTAGTAAATATGAATATTAATTCACACTGACATGGCTTAGTAAGTATGGATATTAATTTGTTCATATAGCAACAGGCTAAAAAGCACTCAGAAGTAAATAACCACACAGCAGCACCCTGGCAACATAGCAACAAGTTTTGCATGGCAAGCAACACTTTCATTTTCTTTAGAGAATGTAAAACTCTAGTTGTGAACAAGCTGGTTATTATGTTATTTTGTATTACTACAGAGAATTTGAAAAAGAAACTGAAAACTAACCCTATCATATCTACCAATTAAATTTTAATGGGTTACCGTAGTCAATATTTCAAGTTAAGTGCAATTAATATGTTCAGAACAAAACCAAAATGAAAAGTTCTACCAAGAATTCCCTTTGCACTGACAAAACACTTCCATTTTCTTTAGAAAATGTACATTTGTGACCCAACTGGCTATGTTATTTTATTAATTACACAGAATTTGATAAGGAAACTGAAAACTAACCCCATCATATTTATCAGTTTGGCAACATAGCAACAAGTTTTGCATGGCAAGCAACACTTTCATTTTCTTTAGAGAATGTAAAACTCTAGTTGTGAACAAGCTGGTTATTATGTTATTTTGTATTACTACAGAGAATTTAAAAAAGAAACTGAAAACTAACCCCGTCATATCTACCAATTAAATTTTAATGGGTTACCGTAGTCAATATTTCAAGTTAAGTGAAATTAATATGTTCAGAACAAAACCAAAATGAAAAGTTCTACCAAGAATTCCCTTTGCACTGACAAAACACTTCCATTTTCTTTAGAAAATTTAAATTTGTGACCCAACTGGCTATGTTATTTTATTAATTACACAGAATTTGATAAGGACCTGAAAACTAACCCCATCATATTTATCAGTCATATTTTTTGCTTGTGTAAAATAATTCCAAATCTTAGGTTCTACAAACTGAATCTTGGAGAGTACATTAAATTGAATAACTTTTTGAGTTTTGCTAACCTAGTATTGTATCATATGACGTAGAACTATGTGAACTGTTAAACAATCCTCTAGTTTAACCCTCATATGCCAGTCACTGATTGAGTGCATTTTGTTTGGTTTGTTTCAGATGATGCTATGAAGACCACCAGAGATGACTGATGTGGAACCTGTTGTCTCTGACTTTGCAGCCACGGGCAGGACTGGCCGGCGGAATGCATTGCCAGATATTCTAGGTTCCACGGCTGGTCCTGGAACTGCCGACCTACCTGATAAACTAGCCGAGCTTTCAGCAGGAGGTACTGTATGCTGTCTTTTGTTCAGCTGGGTTTATTTTATGTCCATTAGTCTCGATGTATACAGTTTGAAAATAATCAAAATTATGTGCTTGCAAGGCCAGCATCATTCATGACTAGGCAAAATATGGGAAAATAAATTAAAATAATACAAAAAAATAAAAAGTAAAGAAAACAACCCTCCTAGCTCATGAGGATAGGATTTCACTGGATATCAGCAGCAGAAATAATACTTTTATTCAGCAAGGATAGTCTTATTAACTTTCTGTTTATCAAATAATTAATGCGTAGGTGCACTAGGCTAATTTAATCTGTGCAGTGTACCTCTGATGTCTAAAATGGGCCATGATGTTGGCAGAGTCTGCGAGACTAAGCTGTGATTGACAAAGGCACCTCTCTTTAAAACATGCTTTTCTACAGAGAAAAGAGCACTCTCTCATCAAATATACACTTTCCTCAATGCTTAAGTGCTTTTGTGTGATGTCATTAGGGGGTCGGCTGTAAGACTAACTGTTAGACTGCCATCGGTTGCTGTCAGAATGTCATTCCTTAGTGGTAGCTGGTGAAAACCTGTGATTTTCAAAGACTATGTTCAGTACAATTAATATAATACGAAAAACTTAAAAAAGAAGGACAGCAGTGATTTAGCCCTCGAGGCAATGACCTTGATTCAACGCACACACTTCTGATAAAGTCCTTCTTTTGAGGATTAGATCATGACTGAACCTTCCTGTGCATCAATAACTGCCTGCAGACAAACACTTTTGATCTGCTCTGTGTTACCCATAAGCCTCAAAGGCATCACATGTGATCCCGGCAAGTGATGCTCCATGTGCAGTTTGTGATGACGCCGGAGATTCTCAGCAGTGTTGAATCTGCTGCCTATTCCACATCATACATTATTTATCCTGTTTTAAATAATAAACAGAATACTGTTTCAGAGTTAGTGTCCCCAAAACTGAAAATCATGTCTACTCACCCTCTTGTCCTTCCAAACCTATATGACTTTCTTTGGCATGATAACAATGTGCTGTAACTGGGTCCTGCTGAATAATTAACTACCTCGTCTGCCATCTAGTGGCCAATTTTTATAACTGTCATGCAAAATGGAATAGTCTTTTAGTACAAAGAACAGTAGATCAATGAGTTTTTAGCCAAGTTCAAAGGGTGAAGTCTTCCTTTCATTTGAAATTAAATTGGACCGTGATTAATACGGCGATTTAAAAAAATCACCATAAAGTTTATACCAGGGTTTTTCTTGGACTGTATATATTGTACTGTACTGTGTGTGTACTGTGTGTGTGTGTGTGTATATATATATATATATATATATATATATATATATATATA